TTAGTGTTTAGTCGTGACCCACATCCCGATGCAAAACTTCATTTAAACGGAGTCCAAGTTAAGAAAGTTCACAAAATGACATTTTTTGGAAGTGTGATAACGGACCAACTAGATCCAGGCATAGAAACACGTAGAATAGCAATGACTAAAACGACTTTTATGAAAATGAAGTCATTTCTTTGCAATAACCATCTCAGTTTAGAACTAAGACAAAGAATGGTTAAGTGCTATGTTTGGTCCGTACTTTGATATAGTACAGAAGTGTGGATGCTAAAAGTATCCATCATGAACAAAATTGAAGTATTGGAAATGTGGGTTCATAGACGAATGCTGAAGATACCTTGGACAGCAAGGAAAACTTATGAAAGATACCTTGGACAGCAAGGAAAACTGATGCAGAAGTACTAAGGAGCGTCAACAAAGATACAGAACTACTAAAGACTATTAAACGTCTAAAAATGTCTTATCTGGGACATATAGTAAGGGAAAGTCGATATAAAATATTACAACTAATCCTTAAAGGCAAAAAAGATGGCCGAAGAGGAATGTTCTTATCCCATAGTACCGGGTTCAATTTTCGTATGCAGTCTCTTGTTTGTCCTAATCTATTTTTTATATCTTCCTCCGTTGTTCCTTTGTTTGATATTATGAAACCTAAATACTTATACTTGCCTGTTCCTTTGATTTGTTTACCTTCGTATATTTCCAGCTGTTTTATTTCTGTATTCTCCGTTGTTAGGTATTCAGTTTTCTTTCGGTTTATTTCCATCCCATTCTTTGTATATTCCTGCTCCAGTTTTCTCATCATAAAACTGAGGTCATCCTCGTCTTGTGCGATCACTATTTGGTCGTCAGCAAAACTTAGCGTATATAGATATTCGTTCCTTACTGGTATACCCATTCCTTCGCACTTTCTTTTCCATGGTTTCAGCGTTTTTTCCAGGAATATTTTGAACAGGGTGGGAGATGTGGAGCAACCCTGTAGTAGTCCCTTTGTCGTTTTAAATGGACTGCATATTCTATTGCCCGTTTTGATAGCTACTTCGTTATTCTTGTAGAGTGCTTTTATCGCGTTTATTAATCTTCGTGGAACTTCGAGTCTTCCATAGCTTGGTTCTAGGTATTGAATCATATGCCTTCTAACATCAACAAAAGCCAGATGGACGGATCTGTTTTTGGCCATTCTTTTTTCTATTAGTTGTTCGATCGTGTAAATGTTGCGCTTTCCCCGCTGTGAAACCTGCCTGGTCTTCTCCGATTTTTTCTTGTATATATGTTTCTAATTTTTCCTTTATGGTCTTTCCATACAGTCTGCCTATAGACGATATAATGCTGATTCCCTGATAGATTTCGCAGTTTTTTTTATTTCCTTTCTTGTATATTTATGTCATATATGCTTGGGTCCATTCTGCCGGTAAGTCTTCTCCATTCAGTGCTCTCTGAAACATTTTGTGTATCATACGGAATAACTTTTCCGATCCGTTTTTTATCAAATCATTTGGTATTCCGCCGGGACCTTCTGCTTTTTTGTTCTTTAGAGTTTTGATCGTTCTATTTACCTCAGCTAGGCTTAATTCGATTTCGTCATGTGTGTAGATTTCTATTCCGTCTATTTCTGATTCTTTGAATTCGGGGCGGTCGTCAGTTAGCAATTTTTTATAGTATTCTTGCCATTCGTTTTCTTTGATTTGACCGATCTTGATTTTCTCTGTCTTATTTCTTTGGAGGGACTTTAAGATGCGCCATGATTCATAAATACTCGTTCCTCCTACATGCTGTTCTATCTCTGTGCATGTTTTTTCCATCTTTCATTTTTTTCATTTGCTACTTTTCTTTTCACTTCTTTATTTTTTTCCTGTATAGTTCCAAGTCCTCATAGTTTTTTGTGTTCAGGTATTTTATATGGAGTTTTTTTTCTTTTTTATGCATGTTAGTGTGTCTTCGGTTAATTTCGTGGTTTGGTGGGTGTATTTTTGGTCCACTTCTCCAAGAGCTTCTAAGGCTGCTGTCTGCATGCAGGTTTTTATGTGTTCGTATGTTTGTTCTAATGATTCATACCGAAACTCTTCTAGTTTTTGGTCCAATCTTCGCTTATATAGGTCTTTTATTGAGTCTTCTTCTAATAAATTGATTTTGAATTTCTTTTGTTGTGTTGAGCACGTATTAACAGGTGTAGCCGGAGCCGTAACTTGGCCCGACTCTCCCTGGGTCGGTTTCTGTTGGGTCTATATGAAGGGGAATTCCATCCAAGCGATTACTAGTTTGTGATCTGTGCCGCATTCTGCGCCTTGCTTTACTCTCACGTCTTTTATTTTTATCGAGCTTTCGTGGTTTACTATAACATAATCAATAATAGACCTCAATTTTCTTGTTTCTTGTGTCCAAGTGTATTTTTTTGGTAATGCTACGAATGTTAATTTTAGCCAGTCTGTTGGTATTTTACCTGTGTCATATATGTTATTAAATAGTGCTGTTATTAAGTCTACGCTTTTCTTTTTGGTTATCTGCAATTAGTTTTAGTATTTAGACATTGATATTGTCTGTACCGGTGGCTTTTTCATCTTTCTGAGACTTTACTGCGTGAATCACTTCTTTGGTTATTTCTGTGCCTTTTTCATTTATTTAATTATCTGTGGTTGGTGGAGAACAAGGTCTATCGTCGTTAAAAAGAGTTTGTATGTATTCTTTCCATCTCTTTAGTTGCTCTTTTGTACCCATAATTATTTCGTTGTGTGCCGTATTTTTCTGAAGTTGTTCGATTTCTAGGCATTTTGTTGACATCCAGTTTCTTTCACCTTCCTGCACTTTTTTCTAATGATTTTTTGTTGTGTTTTATGAACCCGATGTCTCCTTCTTGTATCTTTGTTATTTTTGTTTTTAGAGCATTCCATGTTACTTCAATGTCTGTCTGTACAAAGTTTTCGATCGTTTTTATTTCTTCCTCAAGCTTGATACTTATTTCTTTTTTCTGTTCAGGATTCTTTAAATGTGAGATGTCTATTTTCTTGTGACTGTTTTCTTTTTTACTTTGATAAATTATTTTAATCTAAAATCTATAATAACTGGATTGTGATCGCTATGTATATTAGCTCCAGGGTGTTTTCGTAGATTGTATGTACGTCTTAAAGGTGGTGTTGAGCAAAATGAAGTCAATTTGATTTCTAACAATTCTGTCTTTTCTGTTTTCAGGTAATTTCCATGTGTATAGTCTTCTAGGATGTTGTTTGTAGAAGGTATTGGCTATTGACATTTTTTTTATTATTTGCTCTATTATTCCTGGTACCTAGACCGTATGCTCTTATAGAATCTCCTTCAGCACAACGACCAATTTTAGCGTTAAAATCACCCATGATCATCGTTATTTCATCTCTTTTTATCAGTCGCATTATTTCATCTGTTATAAAATTTTTTGATTTCTTCGTCTGACTTGTCACTTGTTGGAGCATAGACCTGAATAATATTTAGTTTTCTGTTAGTTGTTTGTAATTTCAACATTGCTACTCTATCATTTAGAGGGCTGAAGTATGTGACTGATTGAGTAATTTTGTTCGACACTAATATAGCAGTTCCATATTGATGTTCTGGGTGGATTCCACCTGAATAATATATGTATCCACGTTTTTTTGTACTCCTGAACCAGGCCCTCTTACTTCACCCATCCCCAAGATGTATTTTCAGTCTTACCATCTCGGCTTCAGTGTTTGCCAGTTTCCCGGACATAATTAAGCTGCGTACATTCCAGGTGGCAATGCGTACTATTCGGTCGTATATTTGTATTCTCTGTCCACTTTTTTGGGTAGTTGTATATAATGTTTTCACAGTTTTCTCGAAAAACGGGAAGTGAGAGCTTCCGATTTCATAATCTTTCATCGATTAAATATTTCAGAATTTAATAAGTCTACACTCCTAATTTATTATATTTTTATTATATATAAATTGTAACTTCAAACAATTCTTTACATATAAATCCTACGTTAATTATGGCAAATATTTATTATCGATAAGCAGTAATATATAAATATGTGTAAAATATTAGAACTAAAAACAAAAAATTAAAAGGAAACTAATTTACCAAAAACTTGGCTAGTAATTGAGGAGGAGGAAAAACATCTAGTAAAGGGCCATCTAGAGACAAAGAGACTTAGTGGTGAAACGATGAGATGCAATAGAAGTTAAAAGAGAAGAAAGGTAGAAAGAGGTATGACAGATATAAAGACAGAAAGATAAGGAGATACACAAGGTGACAAAAAGGGAAGCAAAGCGGGCTTTAGCTACTGCAAAAAAGATCGTCTGCAAAACATAGAAACATAGAAATATGTCTCTAGAAACATAGAAATATGTCTAAAAATAGGTCTTAGTCTGCAGTCGTTTGTTACCAGATAAGTAAGAAAAATTTTAATTGACAATATGATTAAAATAAAGAATTATGAGACGCAACGTCAAAAGAGGATTGTCTTTTTGGTAACTTATGAAAAAAATTAGGAACGGGTTGGTCATAAGCAAACTTTCAGGCACGATTCATAAAGATATCTTATATCAGAACTCCCAAGACTAAGAAAAGCGAGATCTGCTGCCAAAAAGAGTAGAAGAGTAGAAAAATCTTGGATGCAGGTGAAGCCACTTCAGATAGTGTACACCAAAGAGTGCGATACCTTATAAGCCAGTGGCAGTTAAGCAAACTAAGTCTAGTTAAGAGAAAATAAAATAAATAACATAGAGATTTAAGTATTAATGGAAAAACAAGTAGATAAGGAATATCTACTTATAGTACTTATTCGGATAAGGCCGAAATTAATTATTAAAAACTTAAATATTCTATTTTTGTGTTGCTCTTAAATATGAACCAATCACAATTGTTTCCAACTAATTAGTAGCGATAATTCACTTGTGCACACAGCTATGTGGAAGTGATCATTAAAGCGATGTTTTTAAATTTATTTACCCTACAAATATGTCTCTTACAGTTAAAGATTATTGGTTTATATTGAACACACTTGTAATTGACGTCTTTGTATATTACCACTATTATTTATTAACTATAAGCTTAAGTCATAAGTACTTTTAGTGTAAAAATTTTAAGTAATTATGGTCTTAAAATTAGAATTATAATTTATGCTGCTCTGACAAAACCAATGGTTTTATCCTCTATATTGTAAATACTGTAATATTGGGCCAAAAACGCTCCTCCAAATATCCATGTATTTGGTCCCATTGTATCATCAGGAACAAAAGCCGAAACACAAGTGGTGCTGGTTTTATTAGATTCCTAGAAAAAATATCGATTTTTTATTAGCTTCGTTATTTTATTAGTTTTGTAATAATTTGAAGTAAATGGTAAAGTGCTATCCTTTAATTTAAAGAAGACTGATTGATTTTTATTATAAATATTTACGATAACCAAAAAGGATAATAAAAATATTCGTTTTATTATTTAAACAATTTGAGCGCATCAGAAATATAATATGTATTATAAAAGTTAACAATTTAAGAAGACATAAAAAAAATAATAAGAAAAACATGTCTACATCAAAGATTAAAACGAATGGAATCTTATAAGGAATGGGGAGACATTGATACTTCAATTAAATACTGTTACATATGGTGCTACTTCATCCGCCTATTTAGCAATAAGGTATATAAACCAATTAGCCGTTCAACATCAAGAATCATTGTCAGAAAATATTTCGATCACCTTCTAATGAATAATACCCAGAACAGAATTCTATGAGGACGAAGCGCTGATGAGAAATAGCAGCCGTCAACAAGCGACGGAACCACTTTCTAACGAAAAGGAAATATAACAATAAAACACTAAAAACTTTGTTCTGAAAATTAAAGTAATAAGGCAACGGCCCGAGTTTAAAACGTTTAAATACCGAGGGTAGATATTAATTTTGTATATCGTCGTTGTGCGGGTAAAATCTGCTATAGGTACATGTTTTGATGAGATTGAGTTATGAGCACAGAAATTCTCAAAATTTAATTCTTAACACATTGGTATAATCTGCTATAGGATATGAATAGAATTAACCTAGATATAAACATTTGTTTAAAATCTGCTATGTGTTCAGGTGAGGTAAAAACTGATATGTGCTAAAATTGCATATAACCGAAATTGCTCTTTGTAAAAGTTAAGCAACTATGTGCACTTTGAAACTGGAAATGTAAGCAAGTCCGAGTATGATCTTCACATTGTAATGCAGAATGAAGCATGTGAAGCCAAGGCAGCTGCAAAAGAGACTTGTAGTAACGATGGATTTGCAGTGTGTTCTGTTGAATCCAAAACTGCTCGCATCTCTTACTTACTATAGGCATAAACTTTAGTTGCATAATTTTACATTATATAACCTGCAACCAAGAGATGTATTCATTTACGTATGGCACGAAGCCGATGGCCAGGTATCATCAAACGAATTTACGTTATTTATTGTGGACTTCATTCGTAACTGTTCGCGTAGTTATACAGAATTCGTTTTGGTATCCGATGGTTGCAATTATCAGAACCGAAACCAAGTTTTGTGCAGTGCTCCAAGTGATCTGGAAGAAGAATTGAAAGTCACAATTGAGCAGATCATACTTGAATCTTGTCATACTATGATAGAAGTAGACTCGGTTCACTCGATACTGGAATCTGTGTTCATAGCTCCAATATGGACGCCATCTCACTATGTAACGCTAATGAAATCAGCACTACCGCGCCAGCCCTATATTGTGAATCAAGTACATTACTAGTTTCTTTTTTTTTAACTATGAAAGTGTCCCATCAAATTTCAACAGCATAAGACCGGGGAAGTCTGTAGGAGATCTACAAGTTGTCGACATACTAGCACTCAAATACACTCCTGATGGGTGTGTATACTTCAAACTTCGATATCCTGAGGAATATCCTTTGCTGCCACAAAGAAGCCCTAACACACTCTTTAACCCTATACCTAAGCTTATGATAGTCCACAACCTATGTATGTATGTAGGTACAGCGTTAATAGGCCTTTTAGGCCCATTGCTGGATGGATAATTTCCATCGTTTTTTATTCTTAGCTAACAGGTTCCAATCTCTGATTTTCATCTCTCTGACATCTTGTAACAGTTTTTTTTATAATTAATGTATTAAATTATTTTTAATTCCCTTTACCCATGTGGATGATACGCTGATGATCGTGTGTACGATTAGGAATTTTTATTGGGAAACTACCGAAAAATGACGAAAGAAACTATCTACCTATTTGTTTTATATACTCTTATTTTGGTATTACGAGATATATCTTTGGCCTTACTTATTTTGCTCATGGTTCCAGCGCACATGTTGCTCTTGGTCAGTATCAGGTTGATTTCAGTTTTTTCCTTACATGTCTAATCAATAAGAGTACCCAAGTACATATATTCATCTACCTTCTCGAATTCTACAACTGATTCATCCTCCACCTCCAATTTAAAGGATCCCCTGGTGTTTATTCCTTTTTTGCTCGAGATCTCCATGTACTTCAATTTATTAATATTAACTTTCAGTCCCATTTTAGAGCTTTCCCGAATGAATCTTTTTGGTATATTTGATAATTCTTTTCCATTTCTTGCAACGAGAACCACATCATCAGCGTATGCTAAGCATTGGTGCTCCTTGTATAAAATAGTTCCGGACCTATTTATCCCACTAATCCTTACATTTTTTTCTAGAACTATATTGAATAGCAATGTAGACAACGGGTCTCCTTGGTGAACCCTTTTTTCACTTCAAATTCTTCCGAAACTGTACCGTTGCATCTCACAGCAAAAATGGTTTGTCTAATTGTTATTTTCACTAATCTTATTATTTTTTCTGACACTTGGAATTCTTTAAGTGTTTCTATTAACTTGTTTCTGTCTACTGTATCGTAGGCAGCTTTGTAATCAATGAAAAGTACTTGTGGTGAAATGTTGTATTCATAGCAATTGCTCAGGATTTGTTTGAGCATAAAAATTTGATCGGGTGTTGATCTTCCTTTCCAAAATCCTTCCTGGTATTCTCCTAGATTATTCTCTATAATATATTTCTAATCGTTTTTTAATTAGTATGGCGAGTACTTTATAAATTACCTCTAATAAGGATATTCCTTTATAGTTTGCGCATTCAGTTTTATCTCCCTTTTTGTGTATAGGAATTATAATCGACTTATTCCATTCTTGAGGCATTTCTTCGGCATCCCATACTTCTAGTATTAGCTCACCAAGTTTGTTTATTAAGGCCTCTCCTCCATATTTTATGTTCTCTGATACAATGCCGCTCTCCTCGGGGCTTTTTTGATCTTTCATATCTTTTATTATTTCTTGAATTTCTTCTCTTGTGGGCTTTGGTATTTCTTCTATTACTATTTGAGGTTTAGGAACATAACAATTTTCTTCAGTAGTCACTTCTTCATTTAGAATCTCTTCGAAATATTCTTTTCACCTTTCACATATTTGGTCTTCGTCCACTATCAGGTTTCCTTGCTTATCTTTTACATTTATCGTTCTTCCCTGGTACCCAGTTTTAATGTATTTTACTTCTTTATAAAAATTTTTTATTTCATTTTCTTGTAATTTTCTTCAATGCGCTTAATTTTATCATCCTAAGGGAGAGGAAACTTTCGTTTCCTCTCCCTTAGGATTCTCTTTACTTTTTTTCGTTGTTCGGCATACCTTTCTAGGTCGTCTTACTCTAGCTCGCCACGACCTATTGACAAGCAAAAATGTGGTAATTTGCAAAATCTTAAAAGATTTATAAACCAGGAAAATCATGCATTCTTTGACACACAAAGAAGTTTAAACTAAACTACAAAATGTTTCAGTAAATTTAATGTTTCGTTTAGAAGCTTCTAATTTTTATTTGTTTTTTTTTTAATTCACAATAAACATAGTTGAATATTCATTTGTTTTATTTTTAAATTAATAATAAAAGAAAAAAATTATTTGAACATGTTAGGCAAAATCTGCTGTTTACTTATATCTCCCAAGTAAAATCTACTATGTAATTTTTTTTTCACAAAAACAAAAATAACTCCCAGTGTCTATTTCAGACTTAGTAAAATACGTTTTTACATTAACCATATAATTATTTTACATATATCTTCCACAAAAAACTATCTTACACAACGTACCATTTTTAAACTAAACAGTTTTATGTCTCCCCTGTAAAATTTAGTTTTCTACACATAGCAGATTTTGCTCGCGCAACGACGATATGTAGAAATTGCTAAGAGAGATTAAAATAAGAAATGTAAAAAGTTACATAGCCAAAATAGATAGTAAAGAAAGTGAAAAATTTGAAGTGAATTATTCTTGAAGAGGTTATAAAAGCATAAATTAATAAATCGGTACTTGTCTACCAATGCAAATGATAATGCTTAGCATTCGCTTATGATTTTAATGATAAAATGTAATAATAATATCAGAACAAATACCAAAAAATAAAAGGATGATATGTACATAAATGCTAATAGATAATTATATTCAATGGTCAGATCAGGAGTATGTGCAAGAAGCAAAAGAAGCAAAAATATACAAGTCTGAAGATATAAAAAGATTTAAATACCTAGAAGTGATATTCACAAGTAACTTAATATGCGAGCACAAATCCAAAAAAAGAATTCAAGATAAGTTGTATCTTAGGTTATATTCCAAAAATATGGCGAGAAGTGAGGGTCTGCATAAAGTCATATTCATCGATTAGCCTAACCTCATTTTTTGCAAAGAACATGAAAAAGATACTAAACGCATACATTAAAAGTAAATGCTTGTCAAGTATATCGCTCCACAAAGAACATTTTGTCTTTTCCCGTTACAGATACTAAAATATTGTCAAAAAAAGTTGCATGATATGAGTTCATAGGCAAAGATTGCATTTTATATTACCTCATTGAGTATATTAGCGCTCTCGCACCAAAAAAGGGTATGTTACATTTCATTAACAATATATAATCACATAGACTCAATCCAAGATCAGTACTAGGAATAAGATATTACTACTACTACCTAGGAGAGCCAACCTCCATCACTATAAGACCATTAAAACGTTGTCCTGAAGGAGAAGTAATGGTCAATAATGGTTGACGTTTTTTTAACCAAGGTCAAAGGGAAAGATTTCGTCCTTTGAGCTATGAAGGCAATATATTAATAGTGGTTAAGTGCAAGGAGCCTTAAACTCAATAACTGGCTGGTAGTCTACAGAAAAACTTTCAAGCTAACAAAAATTTGTTTAATTCTCAAATAAGAGGAGATTAATAGTTCAACATTCTATCATGAATGGACCAATACTATCATTCTCAAAAGGGGTTAAGCATCTATGAATTACCCTTCATAGGAAACTTACTTGGAATGCTTGTCACGAAAATATCGCTACTAAAATTGAACGCTTCATTTGGCGTTCCAAATGTACTATTCCAACTTCTCATTTTTCTTTATTCGAGTAATCATTATTTATCAAGTAAGTATTTTTCCATATAAATATTTCGCGGTTTCTTCAAATTTACGTTCACAAAATTCCACTTACCTTCATTATGTATTGCTTTCCTCCGAGTCTAAATGCTTGTCCAGCCAAATATATATCCAACTTAGGCATTTGATTAATGGCATCACAATTTACCTGTAAATAGAACAATTTATAACACAAAAAACTTTTATTCATGAAAGTAAGGAGTACTTAATGACTAACATTTAGTTTTTTCATATTTTGAACTTAAATTAGTTTTCAATGTTTTCAATATATTAATATAAGTCGTATATATAAGTAATCTATATATATATATATATATATATATATATATATATATATATATATATATATATATATATATATATATATATATATATGTATGTATATATAAGTAATATAATAAAATTGTGGCTAACTCGCATTAAATACGGTAGATAACGAAGAAATGACAAAAAAAATAATTTCAGAACAACCAATATTTGGGGAGCATGTTGTACCTTGGACAGTGTTTTGTTTTTTTATTAACAAAATCGCATCAGCCAAATTGGCTATTAGCGAAACAATGATAGTGAACAATAATTTGTATTATATTTATAATGTTAGTTTAGATAGCATTTAAAACGTTAATTGAGGTTAAGAAATTTTTTATGTTTGAAATATTGTACTGTAGAAATAAAATATCGCTAAGTTTGTTTGGTATATTGTACAACATGCGCTTTGGCGTTAATGCTGGACATTTCTCTAATATAGGTTTAGATGTTAATTTTTTATCACAGTTGTCACATCTTGGTTCTTGTTTGTTGGAGAACACGTAGCTATTAGTTAATCGCGTATGACCTAGCCGGAGTCGCATTAATATTACCTGGTCTTTACTACGTGTTGGTAATGTGGGCCAGGGTTTTATCGATTTTTTTAACATCTCGTAGCTTGGCCTGTGACACTTTCCACTTTTCCACCCACATATATCGCAATTTAAATTTAACCTCCGCTTTCACGTCCGCACTCATAAATGTTTTAGTACACTCTGCACTATCACTACTTGTGTTTCGTGTTCGTGCTTTAAATATATAGCTTTGGTTTTATGAACAAATTAGTATTTTGAAGACCAGATTATTTAATTACCTTGCAATTTGTAACGATGTACTGATCGTTCAACAGTCCGAACCGTGGAAACGTCGATATTCGCGCATCAACTTCTACGACGAGACGATGAAGTGGGATTCGGAGCGACTATTTAAGGCGAGCGACTGGCGGAATTAAAAAGTCTTGTAGCTAGCGCTCTAGGCTCCCTGATTCGCTGGTGTAGTGTACCTGCGAGCCCACGCGGACACAGAGATTTCAGTAATGAGGATCGTACTCTATCCTTAACCAAGTAGAACTTATCGGTATTGTGAACTGAACGTTACCGTGGATCTGCACAACCGATTATTTTGTTTGCTAATGCGTCCGGAGCTTTCGCTGAATTGAGGTGGAAGAGAGTATAAGTCTTAAAGCCAGGATTGAAATGTTGAAAATGGCGACTCTAATAAAACAAAAAAAAAAGAGAAAAACAAATGTTAAAGTTTCGCAACAAAATTCAGCTAAAGGCAAAAACAAGAAAAAATCCGTTAAAGAAAAATCGTTACAGATTCTGAATCTTCCATATCAGATGATAATTTTTCGTTACAAGAATCAGGTATGTCTGAAATGTCTTTTGAAATATATGATAATAAAATTGAAAACAAACAGTGATTCTGAAGTTTCAAAATTTTAATCAGACGATTTCGTGATTTTCGTTTACGAAAATAATTATTATCCTGAAAAATCCTCTTGTGTGGGTCCAATCTCTGATGTTTCGTAGCCAAGATTCTTTCGTCCTATAACGCTTTTACCTTCAATCTTGCCTTCTAATATTACCTGGAGCTGCTCAAATTCCCTATGGCGCATTATATGTCCTAGATATTCTTCTTCTTATAGTGCCGTGCACCTATAGTGCGTTGGCGAATTATCTTAAAGCCAGACGTCTTATGCCAGTCTTATTACGTCATCGCCAATGTTATTTATGTCTGTCTAGTTCTTTATGTTCCGTAGCCACGACATTTCTTTGTGACCTACTCCTCTCTTGCCTTCAATATTTTCCTGGATGATTAGTTGAAAGATTGCGTATTTTTTTCCTTTTAAAATATGGCCGAGATATCCAACTTTTCGTACCTTGATCAATTTGAGTAGTTCTCTCTCAGTATTTGCCTTTCTTAAGACTTCCTCGTTTCTCACCCTATCTGTCCATAGTATGCGGAACATTCTTCGCAACGTCCACATTTCGAAGGCCTCCATCTTATTAATGGAAGGTACTCTTAACGTCCATGTTTCCATGCCGTATAACAATATGGACCATACATAGCATTTAACCATCCTGTAGCGGAGATTAAAGGAAAGATTGCGGTTACATAGTAGTGGTTTCAATTTGATAAAAGCTTGCCTTGCTTGTTCGGTACGGCATTTTATTTCTTGTTGAGGGTCCCATTGGTCATTTATCATCATTCCCAAGTATTTAAATGTTTTCACTTGATCGATTCGAGCAATATCTACCTGCAGTTGTATTCTTAGTCCTAGTCCTCTAATCATATTGAGAACGACTCAGGTATTCTTCACACTTATTGTGAATTCGGTTATAAATTATTCGCATAAAAATCTTAGCGGCATGACTCATGAGGGATACAGGTCGATAGTCTTCGCATTTCCTTGCTTTTTGTTTTTTAGGAAGAGCTGTATATGTGGATGTTAGCCAGTCATGCGGTATTATGCCATGTTCATATATAATGTTGCAGAGGTATGTTCATTTCCTGACAGTACTATCACTTAGGTGTTTAAAATGTTCCGCTGTTATTAGGTCTTTGCCGGGTGCCTTGTTGTTCTTTTCGTCGTTTATTGCCTGCAGAACTTCTTGGTGAGAATATTTAATTTTCCATCTGTATCTATTAGTGGTGGCTCTTCTGTTTTTAAGATATTGCTCCCATATTTCTTTCTGTTTTTCAGGGTCTAATTTCATTTGGTTTTTCTTGTTTGGTTATATCGATAAGTGTTTGATTTTCCATAGTTCAGCTACTTCTTTAACCTTTCTGTGTAGTTCTCTATTTTTCTGCTTCATTTGCAAATCTTCTACCTCTTTATTAATTTATTTACTAATTTATTACAATTCAATACACTATTTTATACCAATTTGTGGGTCTTACTTTGTCTGCTTAAACAGTTTAGTTATATTAAAAACCACAGACATTTAATATTGGCATAAATGCTGTAATTTATATTATTTTATCTTTATGTTTATCTTTATAAGACAGCGCCCTTATATGGGTTTTATTATTTCAGCTTTTATTGAACTTTGTATCGACTGACCTGAAGATGCTTTGCAAATTGTAGAAAGCAAAACAGGTCGTCTAGGTAGTTAAATTAAACTGATTGTGAGTAAGTCATATTTATTTCTTTTTTACCTATTTGAAATGGACTAACACAGGCAACACATTCATGATTTGAATTTAATATGGTTTTTCTAAACAATTAGTGGGGATTGCGGCAAAGTTTCTAACATCCTCTTTTATATTGGTTTCCCTTCTCATATTCTGCACCACTTGTAGCAATTTATTTATTATGTCTTCCTTAGGTACTTTTTGTAGTTTCCTTACTATTCTTCTACTTTTAGCTTAAACATAAGCTAAACATAATGTTTGAGAAAGTATGTAGTATTTATTTTCATATTTTTAGAGAATTTGACTTTCTCTTTTGTTATTTTTCTGTCAACAATACACACCAAACGTGTAAAGTATCGTATTACTGTGACCATTGAATTGGATTGTCGCTATTCAGAAGCGCCCTACAATAGGGTTGATTTATGGGGGAGCACTTGTCCCATACTCTACTTAAGAATGGCGAGAAGGTTTGTTCGGACTATTTCAAGAAGCACTTCATCACGAGACAGCGAACGAAACGCACCCAGTTTTATCCGTTCTTGTCCTATCGAGCCTGGGCGCCGGGCGTCCCTTAGCGTCGTAACGTGGTACCAAGCGACTCCACTGGCTACGAATATACTAAAAGGTAAGTATATGTTCTTTGTACAGTTAACAGTAATGAGTTAAAGCTAGTTAGTGATGTAAAAAAACGTGTTCTTTTTAATTCTAAAAAAACGAAAAAAAAAAAAAACAATAAAAAACGTGTTTTTTTGTTTTTAATTGTTTTTTAAAAAAAACAATAAAAAACGTGTTTTTTTGTTTTTAATTGTTTTTTATTAGTTTCTCAACGTAATATTACCAATATCAATATTAGGAGTTGTTTGTAAGCCTAAAAATCACCCAATATTTCAATATTATATCCAAAACATCTAGAAACTCAGTGTTTGATATTCCTTTTTAAAAAATATTGAAACATTAAACCCTTACTGCCTTTATCTATTATTTTTTACGTCGTTGCTTTTGGGGTATCACCGAAATTTAGCAGGACGCTCGTATTCGTTGGCGCTGAGAAAACCGAGGAATTACCGATTAGCTTTTGCAGGTGTTCTGTTGTTATTTTGTGATTTACTTGCCTTGTGCCGGAAATATTTGTGTTTAGTGCTTATTTAAGTGTGTTTAAATAAATTAACTATTGTTAATTATATTTTCTGTGTTTTATGATAATAAATTATTTGTTACCTACTGTAGTGACATTAGTGACAAAAACTGAATGTTTATAATGTCTTCGCATTCGAGTTCTTGTTCTTCGCGGGAATCACGGGGAAGGAAAAGTTGCAAAGTTCCCTGTTTAAAATGCTAAAAACACAGAAAAAAAACTCCTCAAGTAGAGTGTACATTTTGTACACTTTAACTATCAAAAAATGGGACACGTTTGTTGGAATATATTAAAAAATGCCTAAAATGTTCAGAGGAAGTTAAAATAAAGTATGGATTGACGGAGAGAAAACAACGAAACATTGGACTATTACAAACAATACATGAAAAAAGGGAGGAAAAAGTTAAAGGTATGTACCAAAGCTCTAAAAATATTTCCAAATTTCTCTGTTCTTTATTTAGTATAAATTCCTAAAGATAACCTTACTTTACAGACTTATTTTTAAATTTAATAAATTTGGGAATTTTATTTACAGAAAAACCGAAATCACAATCTAAAGAGATGTCCGCATTCATGGATAAAATGACACCTGAACAAAAAGTAAAAGCCCATGAACTGCTTAGCCGGGCTCTATCTATTCAAGTCAAGCACCACTGGCTTTAGTAGAAAATATACAGTGGCAGAAGTTGTTTAAATTTCTCAGACCTGCGTATCAGATACCAACCCGACACCTTTTATCAGGCCCACTATTAGACAGTGAGCACCTACGTTTAAAGGCTATGGTTTCGGAAAACATTGGTAAGATTTAAGTTTTACCATATTTATTAAAATTTATTGTTTCCGCCCTTACTCTGTGAAATTCTGTATAAATTATAGTTACAGAAATTACATAAATTAAATATTTTTTAGAAAATCCACAAATTACATTAGTTTTAATAATAATCTAATACGGTTCCAACCGGTTTCGATGCCTTGCATCATTACCAAGGAGTGTTGTACAAAATGATGTAATTTGGCATCGACTCCGGTTGGAACCGTATTAGTTCATTAAAACTAATGTAATTTGGGGAATTTTGAAATTTTTAAGAAAATATTTAATTTACTGTTATTATATTTATTAAAACATTGACAATATATAGGCGAGCCGCTGTAAAATTACCACTGAACAACGTACTACGGACGAAGTTTAACAGGAAAGACCTTGAACAGCAACCAGATGCGGTACAGTGTTGTACCACACCGTCCGTCGTATATATTTCAGTAATTTTAGAACGGCCCGACTTTAATATAAGTAAACCTATATTATGCTAGTAGGTTAAAAATAATTATCTCTTTACTTTAAGCTGGAGCACATTCTGTTGGACTAATGGTGGATGGATGGTCCACTATTAGGAACGAGGCTGTCCTAAACTTTGTTGTAACAACTCCAAAGCCATTCCTTTTTAAAATTATGCCCACAGGCACTGCACCTCATACTGCAGAATATATGGCAAAAACCCTTGGTGCAGTAATACGTGAAATCGGTCCCCGAAAGTATTTGGTATAGTCACAGACAATGCAGCAAACATGAAAGCTGCTTGGGCTTTGATTGAAAATGATTTTGATAATAACATTTTTACCTATGGATGCTTTGCTCATTCTCTTAATTTAATATTTACCGATCTCAAAAATTTAACAAGTCTGAAATTGTTTAATGCCGAGGCTGTTGCCCATACAAAGGCCATCCGACAAAGCCACATATTATCTGCGTGGGTAAAGGAAAAACAAAACGAATTAAAAATAAGTTGCAGTCTTAAACTCCCAGTGCCTACCAGATGGGGATCATTAGTTCTTTGTCTACAATTATTGCTTGCTAACAAACAAATAATAAAAAGGATGGCTATCAATGAAGAAGTTGAAAAGGCAGTAAGCAAACACCCATCTTTAAAAAAAATGCTCTAAGCGATATATTGTGGGACCGGGTACAAGGATACATTATGCTTCTGGAACCAATTGCTAACACAATTACCTCTGTAGAAGGTGACACACCAACGATTTCAAAATGTCTGCATTTATTTAAAAAAATGGTTAACACCTCATTAGAAAATTTCACTAAAAGTCCATTGCTATCCAAAGAGGAAGCAGATACAAGGGCAATTTTTGAAAATCGGAAGAAGTTTGCTATTTATAGTGTTCATTTTGTAGCTAACCTTTTGGATCCAAAATATCGTGGCTGCGAACTTAGCTCAGATGAGATGGTAAATTTTTTTAGGTTATAGTGGGTTTTATTTATATTTATATTATTTTTTTTATTTAATGTAGACTGATGCGACAGAAGTCATATACAAGGTAGCACAGAAGATGCCAGATGTCGATGAAGCAGCCGTCTTAGCTGACGTTGTCAATTTTATTGCAAAAGGACTATTCAAAAAGGCTTTTCTATGGAATGAGGACAAAATTGCAGCTATCAGCCCTATTACCTGGTGGAGTGGTCTTTGCTCAAATACCGTACTCTCCAAGTTGGCGATTCGTTTTCTAGAGTTGCCAGCAACATCAGCAGCATGTGAAAGATCCTTTTCTTCATATTCGGGAATTTACACCAACAAGAGAAACAGGCTGACCAATACTCGAGCGTCAAAAATCGTTTATGTGGCTCATAATTTAAAATTTATGGCTGAACTACAGCCAAGTGAATCATCCAGTTCAGAATCAATTGCTGGCTCTAGCTTCACAGTCAATCCTGCATTAGAATCTGAACCGGAACCAATGATAATATCCAATTCAGATCAGTCGGAGTCTGTCTTTGAAAGTGATGAAGAGGAAGCTTCAGAGTCTGAAGAAAATGCAGATAGCGACGGGACGGATCAGTGTTCATTTAAGGGATTCGGTTAATTAATTGAACCTTTTCAATCATTAAGACGTTGTTTTTTTTATTTGATAAATTTTTATTACTTATTTTTGCTTTGATTTTGCAAGTTAACGAATAAACTCTTCTTATTTTGTTTATACCCATGGTCTTTTAATTTAAAGGATTTATACGAAATTAATTATGAAACGAAATAATACTTATTTTGTTATAAAATTATACAGAATATTATATTTATTATATGTTTTTGTCATTAAATAAACTGTACCCACTTAAAAAATCAAAATAAAAAAAAACGAAAAAAAAAAAAAAAAAAAAAAACGAAGGCTTCGTTTTTTTCTGCAATAAAAAACGGTTTTTTTTAACGGTATTTGCTAAGTTAAAGCAAAAAGCTATTAAGTATTTGCTATTTTCGTGACTATTATTTACAGTCAAAATATTGCATTTTTTCTCCATTCCATCCATTCATCCAATGGCACTACAGCTCAAATCGTGCCTTGGCCTCTTTCAACAAGCTTCTCCAATCATTTTGACCTACCGCTATTCTTTTCCATGAACGCGTTCCCAGGCAGTTTCTGGCATCCTCATCGACTTCGTCTTCCCATCTCTTTTTAGGTCTTCAAACAGGTTTTTTCCCCTGCATTCTTGCATTTAGTAATTTTCTCGGGATTCTATTCTCGTGCATGCGGACCATGTGCCCTGCCCACCGTAATATCTGCAGTTTAGTGTATTGTACTAGAGTTGGTTCGCTGTATTGCTCGTATATTTCTCTATTATACCTAATTCTCCAGTTGTTGTTTTCACTTATTGGGCCCAGTATCCTACGTAATATTTTTCATTCAAACACATCTAATGCATTGGCAGATTTCTGTGAGATTCTGTGGAGTTTTGTTTTCCGGTGTACGTCTTGCGATTTGAATATGTGACCCATCGCGAAATAGGCTTTATTTGCCAGCACAAGTCTTCGATTTATTTCCGGTTCTTCTTCATTGCTTGCGACCAGATCCATTCCTAGGTATGTGAATCTATTCACATGTTCTATATTGTCATTAAAGTGTTGTTGCGCCAGTCTATTTAATCTGTTTGTATGAGTAGTTTTGTTTTATTTCTATTTATTGCTAGCCTACTGCTTCTGCACTCTGTTTCAACTCAACGTAGGTTTCCTCCGCTGCATTATGTTTATATCATCTGCGTGTGCTGCTAATTGGGTAGATTTGTTTGTAAGTATGTTATTTCCGCTCACCGTCAACCGTCTAATTACATATTCAAAAACAAGATTGAAGAGCCTTGGAGCCAGTCCGTCGCCTTGTTTCAGTCCTTGCGTTATCATAAATGCATCAGTGATCTGTCCTTGAATACATACCAGTGCTTCTGTTTCTGTCATTGTCATTTGCACTAGTCGTATTTATTTTGATGGTACGACAAATTCTTCCAATATATTAGGTAGAATTGTTCTATTTACTGAATAATAGGCTTTTTTAAAATCTACAAAGAGATTGTAAACGTCCATGTCATATTCCCATGCTTTGGCTAGTATTTAACTGTAAATAGTTGGTCAATGGTAGATCTATTTTGCCTAAACCCTGCTTGATATTCCCCGATGATTTTTTCCGTGAGAGGTTGAAGTCTTTGATTAATGATGTTTGTGAGTATTTTGTATCCCGAACAAAATAAAGAGGTGCCTCTATAATTCTGACACAACAGTTTGTCTCCTTTTTTATAAATAGGGCAGATTATACTTTTCTTCCATTGTTGGGGGATTTCTTCTTCTATCCATATTTCTCATATTAGCTAGTACATCTGTTGTGTCAAATTCCTTCCTCCTTTGGAAGGAGTTTGGACCTCTTCTAGCGTTGGGGGTCTAGTTAAGTAATTTTTTCTCCATCTTTCCCCAGCTCTTGTTGTTGTGCCTCCTGCCGTGCCTGCTGCTGCCTCTGTTCTTGTAATGGTGGTTGTGTCTCTTTGTTTAGTAATTCCTTAAAATATGTCATCCATTTTTTCTCCATTATTTTTCTAATATCGTTTAACCAGAGGAAGTTTTACACGAAACACATAAGCTCAAATGTTAAACAGGCTTGTGTCACAAAATGCGATGTTATCGTTAAAAACATACTGGCGAATTTTAAGACTATAAAATTACGAAATACTAACTGCATATCATATTTGTCGATTTCAGCTTGTTGGTCTTATAGTACGACGAAAGGTGTAGACTATAGAGAGAATGGAAATGAATATACGTTTACTATTAAGAAAAACTAGAGACAAAGAACAATTCATCTAAGTGTACTTTCTTTAAAAAATAAATAAAAATCTATGTAAAGGCAATTTATCACATGTTCAATTTTCTAATTGTACTTACAACATATCTGCCATTTTGTAGTTTAGCATCAATAATCTCATGAATTGCATCAACGTCGACTTTTGGACCATTTATTTCATTAGTACTTGTGTCGGCAATAGCTTTACAACCATTTTTACAAAACGTATAAACGTGTTTCGGATCTTTTGTGTAAATCATTCTAAAAATAAATTTTATTTTATTAATTATTATTTAGTATTATTTAATAACATTAGGCTAATTTTGTTAATGTTCAAAATAAAGGAAAATCCAGTAAAAGCAAGACTATACGCAGACGATCTGGTTATCCTACTAAGAGGAACAAATCTAGAATCTACCCAAAGAATCCTGCAAAACGCATTAAATAATCTCCAGAAATGGTCTGACAAAACAGGACTCAGTTTTTCTAACTAAAAAACAAAATGCATGCTCTTCTCAAAAAAGCGAAAAGAGGATAATCCAATTTTAACATTGAATGGAAAAATCTGATCTTCGTAAAAGAAATAAAGTTCCTCGGTGTTACATTTGACAGAACATTGAATTGGAAAAGTCACATTAAAAATCTAAAAGGTACTTGCCAGCAAAGCATTAATATTTTGAAGACATTGTCGAACATCAACTGGGGCAGCGATACGGCAACTCTTCTCCGAATATTTTCATCATTAGTTCGATCAAAAATTGACTACGGCTCAGTGGTATATAACTCAGCCAAGAAATCTGTTCTTAAAGAACTAGATGTAATTCAAAATACGGGACTGCGAGTCGCTTTGGGTGCCTTTCGAACAAGCCCTATACTAAATATATGTAGTGAATCAGGGCAAACCCCTTTAGAATTTAGGAGAGATTTTTTAAGTTTGTCGTTTGCTTGTAAAGTTCTATCCTCTCTAGATAACCCAGTCTACCATAACGTTCACAGCAATCGTTTCAGCCACTACTTCTCATCTCATCCTCAATGTAATCCGCCTTTCTATGAATTATGAATTATTAACCGATTACTTCATAAATATAGCATACAATTCCCGTCAATATACCATCCTTCCGAAAACCCTCCTCCTTTATGGACTGTAAATAAACCACCAGTAATTACTGATCTATCAAAATTTAATAAACATGAATCCCCACCAGCCATATTAATAAACAACTTCAAAGATATTATGGATAGATTTAGCGACTACCGACAGATCTACACAGATGCATCAAAAACAACAGACGGAGTCGGCGCAGCCATTTTCTGTAATATTCATAATGCTAAATTTAAGTTGCATAACAACTGGACTATCTCCAACGCAGAACTATACGCAATCCTTGAAGCTCTAAAATTCATTAACACAACGGACCAGAGAAATTATACAATCATAACTGACTCAATCAACCCTTTGTGACATCAAAAACATACACTACAGCAACCCTATTCATAAAGACATTTACAAAGAACTTTAAAATGCTGCAAAGGAAAACAAACATGTGGTATTAATCTGGGTTCCATCTCATATTGGAATACATGGTAACGAAGTTGTGGACCGTCTAGCTCACGAAGCAGCGACAAGTGATGGTCAAGTGCAATTAAATAAAATAGTGCCGTGATCTCAAATTGTGCTTAAAAAACATAGTTGTGCGTGGCAAAACAAATGGTCGCAGTGTTCCGAAAAACTAAGGCATATTAAAGACAATGTTTTAAAAAACAAGCCTTTGTGTTACCTAGGAAAAAACAAGTCATCTTTTCTCGACTTCAAATTGGTCACACCCGTCATACACATCTTTACCGAATTACAAGAGACAATCCTCCATACTGCAACCAGTGTCAAACCAACAGTACAGTTAAACATATTTTAACCGAATGTCAAATTTTCCAGGAAACCAGAAGTAAACTCAACCTTCCCAGCGACATAGGCGACCTTCTTAGAGACAATAATCATCTACACAATATTATAAAGTTTTTAACGGCTATAGGCATAAAAGATGTTTAAATTAATATCTACACTGTACTTATATTACATATATCAATCTTCTTTAATGTCAGTACGTAATTAATATCAACCTTTCTTTGTTATAATATGTATTTTCCATTGTTGTCGTCTATAACTCCAGTGGTTCGGACGACATTAAATAAATTAATAAAAAAAAATAAATAAAGGAAAATAATGTTGATTTAAAAGATTATAAAATGTATAATGTATGTAACCCTGCTGTCGATTTTAATATGGATATGGAGGAATTCTTAAGAAAATGCATACGGTACAATAAACTTAGAATCCTGTTTACTAAGTTCTAGAACACTGTGCTTGACTACGATCTAATAGGGTAAGGAAAGGTATATTGGTGATACAAGTAATTTGGTGATAATTTTTAATCAGATTATCACACAGTTCCCTATACAAGCACATTCATGACACAGCGCTAGTAAGTTGCTACAAGTGTAAGCAGGACAAACAGATTCGGTAAGAAAACTGGGTAGGCCTTTTGCATCTTCATGTGATTTAGAGTTGAGGCTTTACAATTATATTATAGAAATGCAAGAATTGGGTTTTGGACCAACCGTGTATCAAATTATAAAATATGCTTATGATCTTGCTAAAGTGGATGGTCGGGAGAAATTCTTGCCGTCAACTAACTGCATTGCAAGCAAATGGTGGTGGAATAGTTTTAAAAGTAGTTACAACTTGTACCTTCGTGTGCCAGAAAATCTTTCGACCTACAGAGCTTCCATGGCTAATGAATTTATGATCAAAGATTTCTTTTCGAAACTTAATGATGTTCTCACGAAACTCAATATATAAAAAACCGAATTTAATTTGGAATTGCAATGAGACTTGATTAACGTATGTAGTGAAACCTTCCAAAGCTGTTACTGGCATTGGTAAAAAGTATGTTTATAAAAGATCCTACGCTGAACGAGGTCAAACTCAAACTATGTTAGCATGCATTTGTGCTGATGGAACATGGATTTCTCCTATGCTATTCTTTAAAGATGTTAGATGGAGTGATACACTTAAAAATGATGCCCTTCCCAACGCATTAATAAAATTATTTTTTCTTTTCTTACCCTACAGATTATTCGATCATTGCTATATAGTTGATGCTTCTATGCTGTACTAAATGGAAAGAAGAGCAAAAGAAAAACTCAGAAAAATTGCCTATCCCAAGAGAAAGTTCTGACCTCGTCCCTATTTATGACATAGACGAACGACCAGCCAATGAACCCCCAAGCTAAGAGCTTCATTTACGCTGATGATCTTGGTATCGCTGTAAAAGGGAAAACCTTTTCACAGATAAAGTCGACAATGGAAGAGGTTTTAGACATGATGACGACCTATTACAAACAAAACTTACTAAAACCAAACCCTTGTAAAACCCAAGTGTGTGCATTTTATTTCAACACCCATTTGGCGTATGTAAAAGTGAAAAAAAAACTAGAAAAAAACATATGATTATACGAACTTATAGCCTTAAAACACATTACGAATCGCCTACAAAAATATTTCAGTTTAGGTTTGGAAATACATGCAAGCGTGGAAAAATTAAGATGGAGTGAAAAGTAAAAATGTTACATTGTAAATTTTTTATAAAGGTAAAAATTATATCACTCCTTATACTCACTTTAAATGGAGCTTTCAGCTTCTAATACTAAATTGTAAAACTTAAATATAAAACACTTACTTGTCCACATTAAACTGCCAATATTCTGCAGTATCAGCGTTTAAATACACTATAGTATCCTGAATAATTGTTTTGTTTGGATATATGGTTTTATGAATATGTTTTGGGTCAACAAATCCCAACATAATATTGCCTCCTCTGTCAGAATTACGGTCTCTAAAAAAGAGTATTAAAAACTTTTATTTTAAATATCACCAATCATATTTAAGTATGACAGAGCAAATGTCGTTGAGTTTTCGAAAAATTTCTCTTTCTACGTCTTCTATACATATATAGATAGTATATATAAATAGTAGCTATGATATAATAAAAAGAAAGAATGAAAAAATTCCAAATAAACTCTATCTTATCGTTGGATATCCGATACCAATTTGTAAAAACATTCATTTATTCCAAATTGCTATACAGAATGTGAACATGGACTCTCGGAATCACAAGTATGAGATGTGTAGAAGCCTTTGAGATGTGGGTTTTTCAAAGAAGGCTGAAGATCTCTTGGACAGAATACGTGACCAACAACGAGGTGCTGAGAAGAATGGGGACTAAGAGAGAAGTCCTAAATATTATAAAAAACATAAAAAGAGTTTTCTAGAACATATTTACAGAAGCAAAAAATACAACTTTCTAGGACTGATAATGGAAGGGAAAATGGAACAAAGAAGAGATCCAGGAGCTCCTGGCTGAAAAAGAGACTGGACAGGCTCAAGATATAAAGAAATTTGCTGTAGTTATAGCCAACCTTCAGTAATGGAAAGGACACTTTATGAAGAAGAAGATATACGTAGATGTAATATATATATATATATATATATATATATATATATATATATATATATATATATAGAGTATATTATATGGTATATAGTATATTATATGGTATATAGTATATAAGTATATAGCTATAGTATAGTATAGATAGATGCTAAAGTATTTTGAAAAACTTTTTGAATTTTATTATTTTAATAAAACTATAATATTTATTTTAAATTTATTTAAATAGCGAAGTTATTACTCTAGAATTTTTCATAAAAGAAAACAAAATGTATGACATAAAAGATACCTGTAAGATGTAAACTCGAGGTAAATTGATCCATTATCTTTCAAAAGAAAAGTTTTAATATAAAAAGTAAAAGAACAAACAATAAGAGCACCAAAAATAGATGGATGTCATAGCAATACAATATGGCATTATAAAAACATTGACATTAGGGCTAAATCGAGAATATACAAATCTGGTATATATCGCAAAGACTAGGCCTGAAACAACAAAAAGAGATTGCTTGAAACAAAAGAAATTAAGCTGAAATAGCATAGCTGAAATGACTCTTCTAGTAAAAATTTAAGGAATACATGTGGCGTAGAAGATATTAACGAGTGGGTGCTAAACACGGAAAAGGAGTGAAATGAATATATTAGCAGAACGGAAGAAACGAGAATGGGAAAATTCTTTAGAACATTTTTAGGTCTCTATATAGACATTGAGTCTGAGTAGAGACCAAATGATCTGTAAACAATACTATGATCCATTATTTATTAGTTAATTGCAGATTTTCTTAGATTTTTCTGAGCCCACGTATTTCAAGACTATCTATTTATGATGGATATTTGATTAGTTCTGGAAATGGAATCCAGCTCTTTGAACAAATTCTACTCTTACATCCCCAAAGGCTTAGTACAGCGTAACCACTGGATGCATTGCGTACAAATGATGAACGCTATGTAACTGGAGAAAAGTCGAGTTTCCGATGTCTATAAAATACCATAAAAGGTGGAAAACCCTTACAGAAATCCAGAGAGATTGGAAGGCGCAAGACGCCTTACCAACCAACTCACCTAGCTACCGATTGAGCATCAAAATTGGGGATCAAATTCACCATGATTCATACTAGTCAGGTATAAACGAACTGAAATAAGAGACTTGAAATTACACAACGTTTGTTACTCCCCAAAAATTAATACCTATAATGAAATCATGAAAGCTCTTGACGAAGCTTCAAAGGAAGCTATTGGAGAATTGGATAGTATAAAGATTAGAAATTAATGAATGATGCAATAAAGAAATAGAAGATCTTATGGGAAAGAAGGATACGTATAATAAATGGTTAGTAACAAGGACCCTTACAATGGGCAACAGTGCAACAGTTTAAAGAAAGAGGTAAATAAAAGTTTAAAGTGGGTAAATAAAGCCAAAAATGAGATATGGAATAAAACCTACGATAACATAGAAAATTTTATGGATACCCGAAGAAGTGAAGAAGCGTGGAAAAAAGATTTTAAGTATAATCTACAATTTTACAAGTTAACCCTTCACTGCATCATGTTGTTTAAAAACAACATACTAAAAATAAACATTTATTTTAATAGCAGATAAAGATGAATCAGTTTGTGTATGACTTTGTTCACTAAAAGTGCAGTATTAATCAGAGTAAGTAGACTACGCATTACAAAAAATGAAAAATAATAAAGCTCCTGGGCCGGGTGATTTACCTATCGAGTTATTCAAACATGCCACTGCAATAACATTAGAATTGCTTTGTAAAATGTTTAACAAGTGCCTACAAGGAGAAAGTATCCCAAGAGATTGGAAAGTCTCGTACATAAACTCCATCTACAAAAAGGGAAACAGGAATGACTGCAATCATTACCGAGGTATCAGCATTACGTCATCCACTGGCAAACTGTATGAAAGAGTTCTGAAAGCCAGAATAGAAAAAGAAGCCACAGAGATCGAAGAACATAGTGGATTCCGACCAGGGAGATCTTGTGTCGACAATGTATTTACTCTCAAACATCTAACGGAAAAGAGATTACCAAGAGGACTAGAACTTCATGCCACTTTTATAGATCTCCGTAAAGCGTTTGACTCCGTACCACTGCAGAGACTATGGACAACATTGGAAAACGCAGGTATAAATGCAGTATATATAAATGCCGTGAAAAAGCTATATCAAGATAACCAAGTTTATATTAAGGTTGGAAACCAAATTTCCAAGGGTTTCACCCAAACAAAGGGTGTCAAACAGGGCTCTTGCCTCTCCCCAACCCTATTTAAAATATATCTTGGTAGTGCTTTAAAATATTGGATGAGAAAATGCAGCCCAATGGGCATATGGGTAAATATGACACTCCTATATACACAATCCTCTTCGCAGACGACCAGGTAGTTCTTGCCGAGGACCTACAAGATATGACGTACATGATAAACAAACTAATAGACGAATTCAAAAAATGGGGATTAGAGGTTAATACCGAAAAGACACAATACATGAATATAGGAGGCATCGGTCAAGACATGGAAACAGAAAGCGGATTAATTAAAAACCTTGATCAGTACGAATATCTCGGAGTTACACTAAGCGAAGACGGGAGAGACGACAAAGATATAACAAGAAAAATAGGAAAAGGAAAAAACATGATAAAAACACTACATCCGATCCTGTGGAATAAAACTTTTAACTAAGAAAACAAAGAAAAATATATATCAGGCTATGATTCAGCCGGTGCTGACGTATGGGTCAGAAGTGTGGGTCTTTAACAAGAATATGTCACAAAAACTCCTCTCAACGGAAATAATGTACTGGAGAAGATGTTCCGGGTTAACTTTGACCACATAAGAAATGAAAACATAAGAGAAAGAATGAAAGTAAAGAACACAATAATGGATACGATAGCCGAAAAACAATTAAAATGGTATGGACACCTGAGACGGATGAACGAAGAAAGGATACCACGAAAGGTTTGGAACTGGAGACCTACACAGAGAAATAAAAGGGGAAGGCCAAAAAAGAAATGTATATCCAATATTCATATAGAAATGGAAAATAGAGGTCTTCAAGAAGGAGACTGGGCCAATAAGAAATTATGGCGATTGGGATGCGAGAAGCGACAAAATTAAAGTTGCAAACACTCGCTATATATATATATATATATATATATATATATATATATATATATATATATATATATATATATATATATATATATATATATATATATATAAAGTAGACTAAACAATCATAGATGGTGTCGGTTACGAATATTTTGTCTTCTTAGCTAGTTAGTGTACACGATTAGAAACTGACACGTTCGTCAGATTGTTTTTGTTAGTTTTACCAAAGTAGTTTGAGTAAATATATTTTACGTGTTATTAAAAAGGTAAGTAAAATGCATGATGTCTTGCGCTATAAAGTACTGTGCATATTTTTCTCATAATGATGTTTTTTGTTGTTGTTGTTTACAAACATCATGCATATCTAGTAAATTTTATGTTTTAGATAAAACATTATGAGTTGGAAAGGCCGCTGACTGACAAAGAACTTGCTGATATTAATAGATAGACTTTGGGATAGCGAAGATGGGTTTGATGATGATGATGATGATATTGTCGATCCAGATTTCTTACGTGACGAACAAGTTGGTATGAGTCTGATAATGAGAATGCTGTAGACACTAATATAGTTAATAGCACTGTAGAGGAGGAGCCTCCAGAAGCTCTGGTTTACTCCAAGGCAAAGGTATAATTATTTTACAATCAATTTGTGATCCAAAATACCATGTTTTTTTTATTTTTAGACATTACATAAAGAAAAAAAATTTGACTTATCAGAACAACAACTGAAATTTAGAGGAAATCAGAGTCTTTCAAATTATATCCTACAACACGAAGTCCCTATGAATATTTTAATTTATTCTTCACAGATAGCCTTTTAGACAAAATTGTGGAGGAGTCAAATTTATATGTAATACAGCCATATCCTAACAAACCACTGAATATTACACGAACTGACATAAAGCAGTTTATTAGAATTACAATATATATATATATATATATATATATATATATATATATATATATATATATATATATATATATATATATGCCCCTTGTTTATTTGCTGTCAGTCAACAGGTACGAAATAATCAGACAACTTTTACACTTCAATAATAACGAGAATGCCTTATCCCTTGGCAATCAAAACTACGATAGAGTTTATAAAATTAGACCAGTAATTGACCACCTCAATGAAGCATTTTCAAACGGAATTCCATTGGAACAATATCTGTCCGTCGATAAGCAAATTTGTTCTACCAAAGCTTGGCATTACATGAAGCAGTACTTACCAAACAAGCCACATAAATGGGGTTTTAAATTTTTTGTCTTATGCAGTAGCTCTGGATATGCGTATCGTATAGAATTATATACAGGACAAGAGAATGATCAAAAAACGAGACCTGCTTTTGAACCTGACCTCGGAGCAACTGCAAATGTTGTGGTGAGGTTGGCTAGAATTATTCCTAGGAATATGAGTCACAGGCTTTATTTTGACAAATATGACTCTTCTATACTTCTCCTTGTATATCTTTCCAAACACGGTATTCACAGTTTAGGAACCATAAGAAGAAATAGGATTCCAAATCGTAAGCTTCGTAAACGTAAGGCTATGAAAAATGAAGAAAAGGGAACTAGTGTAGAGTTTGTTGGTACTTGCGATGGTGTGGAAATAAGTATATTAGTGTGGAAAGATAACAAATTAGTCACGTTTCTATCGACTTTCGCTGGTAAAGTTCCTAAAACTACTGCCAACAGAGACAAGAAAGAGAATGACAAGAGAAAAAAAGTAATAAGTTGTCTATATCTTGTACAAGAATGCAACCGTCATATGGGAGCTGTTGATTTGTTGGAGAGCAATATGGGATGGAATAAAATTATTCTAAGGAGTAAAAAAATGTTATTTTACAATATTTTACCATCTACTAGATCTAACCGTTGCTAACGTTGGATTCTTTACAAGAATTCAGCTGTACATAGAACTGGCGTGAAGCTTAAAGACACACACGCACAGTTTAGAACACAACTGGCACAAGCATTATGCAGGACAAGGAACAATTCACCATTTCAAAAAGGGGAAGAGCTTCAGCAAGTGAAACTGAGCGGGCGCTACAAATAAAGAAGAGAACCGGCCCAGCACAGGTTATGCCAGTTAAGGATGTTCGAATGGATGGAATTCACTATTGGCTTATATGGTCCAAAAAACAAATAAGGTGCAAATTTCCACAGTGCAATGGCTATACACATGTGTTGTGCGAAAAGTGTGGTGTAGCACGGCTTTACTAAAACGAAGAACTGTTTTAAACATTTTCATTTTTCCTAAATATTGTTTTAAGTATATCCTTATTTGCATAATGTTGTTCATAAACAAATATTTTTTTCAAAATAAAAAAAAATAGTTGTTCAGAATGTTTTTATTATTTTTTCCCGCAAAAAATAACAAAAATCCAGTCTGCAAACTTTTTTGTAACGAAAAATAAAAAAATATGCAGTGAAGGGTTAAATTTTAAAGGGTAAATTTAAAATACAAGTAACCCAAAATGATTCAAACCCCTTGCTGAAAATTTTGCATTCATAATAACTTTCTAAATATAAATTATGACTTACCTATTTAAATAAACTGAAAATACAGGATCCCTAATCTTCTTTTCTCTGTACATAGTGTAGAAAAACGGTTCATAATTACCACTTTTAGGTCCTAATCCTAGTACACCATCAGCCTTATCAAATTGCATTGTATCCGGTACAACAGACATTTCAACAAATAAAAATGAAGTAACATTTGAATGGGCAATCTACAACAAAACAATTATTTTTAAACAAATTTGTTTAGATAAGTATCTTTAACTACAATGTAGTGTTTAGTTCTGAATGATGTCTGCTTAAATCGAAAGTATGACAATAAATAATTGATGATACATTGTATTTTGCACTACTTTTTTACCGCCAAAAACAAATTTCTTACTCATCGTTCATATATTTTTTGTAGACATTTTACACAATTGTAAAAATGTTTAGTCCTATTTAATGCAATTTCAGCGATAAGCTTATGCTCAAAAAAGGTTGCTTTTATATTCTTACAATCTGTTTTGATAAAGAGCAGATGGAAAAAGGTCTTTATGATGGCATAGAAAAACGTGATAAAATTTAGTTAGGGATGCAGAATATATTAAAGACGTACTTATCTTAAAAATATTAAGATAAAAACAGTGATCCAAAAATATTCTAAATATTATAGTAAATAATTGTTTTTTAATCAGAACTCTAGGCCACACATATTGGAGGTTGGAAAGTTGAAAGTTGGAAGTGTGATCTTATGATCTTGTTAGTTCTCGGCAAATAAGTGTTTTTTACATAAATTTTTTTAAAAACTTTTTATATTACATGTACAATATCTACATGGTCTTTTGCTGTTCTAAGTTTGAGTTAATATGTAAACTGTATTTAGTTTCAATTAATTATACAACATAACTATTTAATGTCCAACGTCTCAAGCTTCCTTACGTATTTAATATCATTGATTGCTACATGTGTTTTTGAGGTAACACACTTATAATGACTTTTCTATGGATGTTTGGTTTTTCATATTTTTCTATTTAGATGAACTGGTGATATTTTCTGATTAGAAAGCGAAACGTCTTCAATAAATAGATGAAGTAGCCACCTTATTTGTCTTTTTTCTCCACGTTTTGACCGAAAAACCCACCAGTCTTCGAGTGATCCTTAATTTATATATATAAATATATATATAATATATATATATATATATATATATATAATATATAATATATATAATATATATATATATACAGTGTAGGTAAAAGTTTATTGTCTGTATGGTAAAATTTAACAGGATATCTAACACAGATATAAAATCATATTTTCAGCGAATAGACAAAGATACCAATCATATGTGAGACGATTAGTTCCGATCAGAGATATTTTACATATTTCTGGTTCCGATCCAGCTTATACCTAAGAAACTAGAGGTGGGTCGTTGACATTTTTATGGTAACCGTTTTTCGTAAACTAGTAACTAGTTGATTGTTTACCAGTAGTTTCAATTAAGCAAGTACACAAACAAACATATTGGCTATTATCATTTATGTGTATAAGTATTGAAGTGAAAGATTCTAACGAAGGATATATTTATTATAACTTAAAAAATAAATTAAACAATACAAATAGTAAATAGTACTTACATTTACATTACACATTATTAAATTGCGAATTGTCTAAATTGACATTTAAAAACATAAGTTTTTCTACTTTTCTTGTTAACCGTGTTCTTTTTTTTTATTTAAAATTAAACCAGATTTTGAACATGTGTTCACAAGGAACAGATTCTGTTACAATACTACAATATTTTATTAATATAGTGGTTAAGTTAGGATATACATGGCGATGGTTTTTCCACCACTGTAATGAACAGTTCCAATCTCCGTTCGAAATTTTTTGTGGGTGATATATCATCAGACAAACACATGTCGACTTCTTTTATATCTCTCGATACAGATGTATGTCTAGATGCGTCATTTATTCATCAAAAATACACCATGGACTTAAGTCATCTTTATCAGTTTCTTTTTCTTGTACTGGTTGATTTTCAATAGTACAATCTTCTTTTTCTTTTTTTTATAGAAGTAACCAGCTTCTTAACTCTTTCTTTTTTTTTACCTTCATTTTTATAAGAAAATCCCTGCATTTTAAATCATTATTTGTCATTTACGAATCTACGGTTTCCTACTGGTAAGTAAACTAGTTGATGGTTGATTCAAAAAAAACTACGTTTTGTGTAGACGTAAACAGAGGAGCAACGAACACTTTACGTCGACGAGGACGATTAGTTGATCTAAGAGACTACTACAAAACTAAACTTAAATATTCAATTAAGAATTCTTTTTCTTAGTCAAAATTATTGACCTAGTATAAGAATAATAATTGTATCTTCAAAAAATCCACATTTGTAGAAGATGCAGCTTTTATGGTCCAATTTCTGAATATTGCAATGATTAAACTTCTCCTGACGCATTTCTGTCCGTTTCGACTACTTCTACTACACTACAAGTACTGACATACTGCCACCGCCACCCAAGCGTCAAAAGGTGATAGATACTTCCATTAATAAAAATATTAGTTTAGAATAAAAAAAAAATAGATATGGATTTACTAAACCTATGCAAAGACTCGTTTCAATCGTTTTCCATAGTTGAAGAACGAACTTTTAAAGAGTTTGCAGGGTGGATTCCTAGATATAAGCCGCCAACAAAAAAACTTGTCAGGTTCATTACTTCAGGAATGTTATATCAAAACTGAGCAAATTATTAGATCATAAGTTGTTAAAGAAGTAGAAAATATCTGTATTACTATTGACCTCTGGATATCTGGAGTAACTGAGACTTATATCGCATTAATAGGACATTATTTAACCATTATATATAACATTTAATAATTTAACGAAAATTTAGAATTTAAAACGGTTTTATTAGACTGCTGCCATTTTCTTGAAACCATAATTCAGAAAACATCGCTTTTGAAATTAGTGAAATTAATAATTAGTAGGGTATAAAACGAAAAGTAAATTTTGCAGTAACTAATAATGCCTAAAATATGGTCAAAGCTATTAAAGATGTTTTGGAATGAAAACATTTAAATTGTTTTGCTCATACATTCAATTTATTGGTGGAGCACGCACTTAAATACTGTCGTGTACAAATAGATAAAATAAAAAGTCTTTTTTTCGACATTTCGACAAAAACACATTTCAAAAAAGTACCTTATCTTCAGAAAGGCTTTTAAAGTATTAATTACAACATAACAAAGTTCCCAAACGGCCAATCCAAGACGTGGAAACTAGGTAGAACTTCATCTATTACATGTTATTAAGAATGACTGAGTTAGAAGAGGCAATCCGTTTCACATTGGTATTAGTTAATACAGACTTAGACTTGGACCAAATCTAAATAATGATGACTGGATTATTTGTTCTCAACTTTCCCAAATTTTACGGCCTTTTAAAGAAATAAAAAGTAGAATGAGTGGCCAAAAATACTTGAAGGGTAGTTCAGTGATTGTTATGGTACGCTGCCTGCAAGAATCTTGCAATAAAATTTTAGAAAACGGTAACCTTACATCCATAGTATCCGACGTAGTACAATTAATAATATCGGGTTTAGCAAAATGATTTAGAGGGATAGAACAGAGTGGCACATTGTCAGTATGTACATTTATGGGTTTACGATTTAAAGTGCAGTGATTTTCTAATAAAATGAAGCTAAATAACAAAAGAAAGAGTTGGTTACTTATATAATTAAAAAAAATTGTACTATTGAAAACCAACCAGTACAAGAAAAAGAAACCGATAAAGATGACTTAAGTCCATGGTGTATTTTTGATCAATTAATTGGACATGACTCATCTAAACGTACACCTGTATCGAGAGTCCATTACAGTGGTGGAAAAACCATTGCCATGTATACCCTAACTTAACCACTATATTCATAAAGTATTGTACCTATATGTGAACACATGTTCAAAATCTGGTTTAATTTTAAATAAAAGAAGAACGCGGTTAACAAGAAGTAAAGTAGAAAAACTTATGTTTTTAAATGTCAATTTAGACGATTCGCGATTTAATAATAACGTGTAGTGTAAATGTAAGTACGATTTACTATTTGTATTGTTTACTTTATTTTTGAAGTTATAATAAATATATCCTTCATTAGTTTCTTTCACTTCAATAAATGTACAGATAAATGATAATAGCCAATATGTTTATGTAGGTACTCTCTTACTTGAAACTACTGTTAAACAATCATAGTTACTTGTTTACAGAAATCGGTTCAGTTGCGTTAACGATAAAAACATCAACGATCCACCTCTACTCGTTACCACTGTCCCTATTTTAATTCAGTGCTTTGACGACACTAGACGAGACGTGGACAAATAATTTTGTATGAAGCTTTCTTATTGTGGCGTCATAATGCAGTTTATTATTTTTATTGGAAATAAGGCACAGTGTGACTTTAAAATAAGCTTATTTTGATGTTTGGCAATGTTAACTTCCCCTTTTTTATTTTTTCCACTTATGCATTTTCGGCGATATAAAGGGCGGATCTAATATACCTCTCTCTTTTTAAAAGGTGTTTCTCACTCCATCTCACGTATGGTCCCTACTGACCATACGTTCACAACTTTTACCTATACTGTAAATTCCTGTATATATATATATATATATATATATATATATATATATATATATATATATATATATATATATATATATGTATATATATATATATATATATATATATATATATATATATGTATATATATATATATATATATATATATATATATATGTAAATATATATATATATATATATATATATATAATATACCGGGTGGTGAATCGTCAAACGGGCCATAGGAAACTCAATGGGAAATTTTAAATTGTTGAATTGCTGCTTCCCTAATTATTTTAGATCAAAAGTCATAAAAAACTATTTGTAGAGGACTAAATTCTGAATTAAAAACAAATGTTAAAACCGTTCTACGAATCAAATGTACTTCAAAATTTTGCAGAAATATAATGGATTTTTCAGACCACCCCTAAAAGTTAGGCCACACGTAATACAAGAATATATGAAAATGTGTGTGTTTTATCATCTTGATGTTAGATGTTTGACAATTTGAATTGTCAATTTTTTTTATTTTATGATTAAATTATAAACAATGAATTTTACTAAATAGTACTACTACTGAACAATATTACTTTGTGAACAATAAATTATATTGTTTACAAATCGATCAATATAATGAAATTTACTCAGTTGGCGAAAAATCGCATAATGTATTCAGGCAATAGCGCGCACCTTTTCCTGTCACTATCGGATCTTTATTTAACGTAAGATATTCTATTTACTATTTTCACTAAAATTTAATTCCATGTTAAGTTATACAACAATTCAATGAATTCCAATATACTGTTACTGTGATCTTTATTCCTAATAACAATATATCCTATATATAAAATTATTGCTCCTAAAATAATTGCCCTCCTAAACATAAAATTATAAAAATGTTATAATAAAACATGAATAAAACATTTTTATTATTGCTCTTTTCTCCTTAACTGAGTACATTTTTTAATCAACTTAATTTTTCTTTTAAATAATAAATCACAAAATTTTGGCTATTTAAATTATAGATAAATATAATATAGTTGATTTAAATATTGTCAAATATTAGAAACGTCAATATGACAAAACGCAACACGTAATACACATTCTTTTCACGGCGTCTGGCCTGGCTTTTAGGGGTGGCCTGAAAAAGGTATTATATTTTAGCAAAATTTTGGAATACGTTTAAGTCGTAGAACAATTTTAACAATTGTTTTCGATACATATTTGAGGTCTCTACAAATAGTTTCCCATGACTTTTGGTGTAAAATAATTAGGGAAGCAGGAATTTAACAATTTAGAATTTCTCATTGAGTTTCCTATGGCCCGTTTGACGATTCCCCACCCTATATATATATATATATATATATATATATATATATATATATATATATATATATATATATATATATATATATATATATATATATATATAATATACAGAAGGCCTAAAAACCGCCGAAAATAAAATCAAATGGCAAATAACCTAGAGGAAGGTCTCCCATGCTGTATATCGAAATTAAAAAAAGTACTTACATGAATATCATCGTATGAATAAACTCCGGTGAAATTGTATGCTCCATCTTGTACAAAATATTTGGTACCGTTCTTTTTGAAAGATGTAGATTTATAATGATCGTACAAGTTATGGCCAGCTGTAAAAAAATATTATGAAAATTTCATATACAAAAAAATTATGTATATTATACACTTATAAATACACTATATAGAAGACACGTCCTACGCAGAATTATAGAAAATAAAAAGCAATGGAATAAATCGTATCGTTGAAGAGTTCGAAGAAACTAAAATACTTTGGCTTACAAAATATTTTTGAATGAGTATAATATACTATATATACTATAGCGTGATATTATCACGCCGGTCCTGCATGGCGCAGCAGAGTCTATCTAGCATCTATCTAGTCTGTTTTTTAACCAGGAGTAATTCAAATTTTACGCGCCGTATTGCTTGTTTGTAATTGGTCCAACCGCAGGCAAGTTTACTCCACTAAATTATGACATATTGACAGTAATGACATATGTGAAATTTTAAAATTCAAAATTTATATCGACGATTTTTTGTATTTTCTGAGTTATTCCTTACATTTTTAGATTTTTCGTTTGCAATTATATAAAAAAAAGTTTGGCGACATATGGCGCAAACACAGATATAAAAAAAATTGGCGACATATTAGTCTTATTAAGATAACAATATGGATTCAATGCCAAGTACTAGTGGTAATTTTTCTTCTCCACCTTTAAAACGCCGAGTAGATTTGGGTCATTTATCATCAAATGAGAAACAATGTATTATAAACATGTACAAACAAATAATGGAAATTGATAATTCTGGAATTAAAATAACAGCCACGGTAACAAAAATAAAACAGGCAGCAGGTTAGTTTTGCAGAATAGTTATTGTTAAAATCAAGACTTACTAAAGTAATGTGCTAATTTTAGGTGTTGAGAATTCAACTATTCACCGAACAATTAAAGAATATAAGCAGACTGGAACAGTAAGATCTCCTAAACATATTGACGGTCGACCTTCTATTCTTGCAACATATGATGAAAGAGTTAAAACATTTGAACGACAGATAGTACACAGCTTCTTTTTCAATAATAAAATTCCCACTTTAAGTACAATTAACAACCTCTCAGATCATCCAAAATATGTGTAGTTCCTTATCATATAAATTCTTGAAGCAAATCAATTTGAAGTAAGTAAATTTGGGCTAGCCACAATTATATAGTAAAATTATCTAAAACATTTTATACCTAGGTTTAATTTTTATAATCGGGTATATTATTGTTACTACTAAATAGTTTTTGTAATTAACATTTATGAGCTTCATGAGAAATGATTGTAATAGTACCCGTCTTGTTTGATCAAAATATTTTTCCTATTTATAGACATAATTACAACAGCTTTTGTGTTACTTGTTTTTGGAAAGATACCAGTGTACAAATATTTTCATTTTAAGTATCATGTACTTACATTTCACTGTTTTCGTTTAAAGATATTATACTTGGTATGTTTGACGATGAGTATAGTAAGAAATAATCTCATAAAGTAAGTTATAAAAAAATATATATTTTAAGTTTTTAATTGTATATAAGCAGATTCATTGCAGCGCAAATATTGCATACCACAACTATAGATTGTTTATCTTACTGTTAGTTTGGTTATTTTTTAGGTGAAATTATTCAAAGAATGGTTTATACATTACGCTGCTAAATAAAAACAAAACTTTCTTGCTCAAATATCTGAAATAGATTTAGTTTTTGCTGAAAAACTAAATGAAGAAATTCAAAATGGTGTAGTTGTTCTTGAACCTCACCAAGACATAAATGGAGAGGATATTATGGAAGACTAATAAAATTATTAAATTTTTATTTTTACACACATACCGAATATATATTATGCACAGAATATTATTTTCCTCTAATATATAAATCGATTTCTGACTCTTTAGGTTGTTTGTAATAACTTGGGAGTTAGTGATATGCGAATAGTATTTAATGTGATATTTTTCTAGATGATATTTATACTAAATATAGTTTAAAGTGTTTATAAATGTATGTTATTTATATCTAATTATCATAAGAAAAACAGCAACTATCTTTTAAATTTAGTGTATATTTGTTAAGAAGCATTTTCATTTTGTTTTCATCACAATAAAAGAACATTAGTTAAGTAATGCTGTATTTTAGTTTAATTGTATTGATTCAGTTGGTTTTGTTCATCATATTTATAGATAATCACAAGAAAACTGCACAGTTATTCCAGAATGTAACATATTGTTGATAATCTCACAGAAATCCAGTATTTTTTAGTAAATTTTATTTATTGATAACAAATGGGACAAACTCGCTGTCAAAATTAAACAAGAATCTAGCATTAAAGAAATTGCAAGTACACACTTATTTATACAAAGTATCCTTTTGCATTTTAGTGCTTCAAATAGAACCTAAAGATATATATATATATATATATATATATATATATATATAATATATATATATATATATACATATATATAATTCCCATTAGAAGACAACATCAAGCCCAAAATGGTTATCAGAGAGATTTCTCCCAAATACAAAATCTAAAGACATCCAAACAGAATTAATACAGAAACATGAAATACAAACAATAAACATAACAAACATAATGTAAAGAAAGGCTAAAAAAAAAAAAAAAAAAAAAGAAATCCCTGTCAATGTTTATAATTACAGTAAAAAAGAAGACGTACGCATCAAGGCCAAGAAAATTACCAACCTAATGTACATGAGCGTAGTAATAGAAGATCTAAGAAAGATCTGCGGACCAACTCTCAATTTTGCCAACTTTAATTGCCAGGACTTCCACCACGCTCAAAATGCATGCTTCAAAAATGCATGCTTTGTGCCAGGTGCGCAAAGTGCGGAGAACAGCACAGAAGCAAATGTTTCCAAATTCCAGCAGAAAAAAAGGCTAACTGCCAAGGTCAACAACCGGCAAATTATAGGGGATTCTCAAGGGTACCTGCCAGTTGAAGATCCAAACAAACAACAATAGAAAACAGAATACAACAACCTAAAAAAACAATGGGCAATCATACGCTCAAATCACCAAACCCACACAACATTGATTCGACCATACTAATCTCAGAAGAACAACAAAAAGGACTGGCCACAATGCTATAAGAGCTAGTCGTAAAAACGTAAATGAAGTGATCAAAAATGTAAAAATATCACTTAACTAAGGTAAGAATCTAGGGGATACCTGGAGATAGGCTACTGGAACTCTGGCGGCATAAGAACAAATTCAAACATGCTGGACGAACTAATAAACAGATATGAAATGATGTCGTAGCATTAAAAGAAACTAAACTAACTCATACCATCAACATCAAGTTTCCAGTATATGACATCTACAGGAACGACTACAGAACAAATTCAGGGAGAACTGATATCATAGTGAAAAAAGTAATAAACCATACATTACAACAGATGCCAGCCCTAAACATTATAAAAGCAACAAAAATAAAATTTCTGAACATAGAAGAACAGTCCTTAATAATATGAGACTTAAACGCCAGATCCGCTAACTCGAACGATAGAGCTATTAACACAAATGGAAGAATATTAAATTATCTAGTGAATAACGAAGACACCATGGCAATTGGGTCCATCGAAGCAACCTACTTTTTAGGAAATGTTCTACCAATCTATTTAAATATATTAGTGGCTAAAAACCTAGGACTAAAAACAGGTATCGGAACCTTAAACAAAGAATCAGGAGACTACAACCCGATACTCCTAGAAATATGTACTTGGGAAAGAGATAACAAAACAACAAGGAAAAGAAAGAAAACGAAGTGGTATAACTTCAAACGACTAGTGAACATAGGAATTGGAAATGTTCCTACAATTTACAATCCACAAGAAATCGACGAAAAAGTCCTAGAGCTAGAAAAACATAAAAGAAGTACTAAGGAATGGCACTTCTGAAGAAAAATATGAAATTCACATGGGAAGAATTAAAGACATCAATCAGGAAACAAAATAAATGATTAGTGAAAAGAACAGAGCCAGAAGAACAAGAAATCAGGAAGATAAAAATGGGTCAAACCGATTTAATAGACAAGTCAGACAGGCACTAATAGAACATAGAAGCCAGAAGTGGGACAATTACATGTAAAAAATAGGCCAAAATAGGCAAGTAATATGGACGTTCCAAAAACCGACGTGATGAGATGAACTTTTGAGAGATAGTGTACACTGAATTATCACCAAGACAAAGACATAGACTTTATCGAAGATGTCTAAGAAATAGAACTAAAAAAGCCTAAAGAACTACAAGAAATAATAAATCCAGCATCACCAAGAAAAATAAGTGAACTGATTAGAAAAAGATCACCAATGAAAGCAACTGGTCCAAATGAAATCACTAACAGAGCCCTAAAGTATCTTGTTTCGAACGCAATTGTATATCTGACAAACATAACAAACGCAATACTAAGGTATAGGTTCTTCTCAAACCGATGGAAAAAAGCCAATTTAATCATGATGCCAAAGCTAGAAAGGAACCACATATTTCCCACATAAGGTTAATCTCAGAAGCACGACTCGGATTCAGAGTGCATTCCAGCAAACTACAAGTACTCAGACTTACAGAATACATAGCCGCTGGATTCATTGACAAGCAATGTAAAGAAGCAGCCTTACTGGATGTAAGCAAAGCCTTCGACATACAAAATGACAGATTGCGGATACAGCAGAGCCATGATGAAACTCATCTCCTTATATCTAAGCTACCGGAAATTCAGGGTCCAGGTGACACCAGTTATATCTAAACAAACAACTCCGAAAGCTGAAATACCATAGAGGGCAGTCTTATACACAACAGACGTTCCAATAACAACCGTTCTTCTTCTTCTTAGGGTGCCTGTCCGTTCCGAACGTTGGCGATCATTCTGGCTATGATGATTTTGTTGGTTGCTATACGAAATAGCTGTGTTGAGGTCTTTCTATACCATGCTCTCAGGTTAGCAAGCCAGAATATTCTTCTTCGTCCTGGGGCTCTTTTTGCTTCAATTATTTTACCCTGCAAAATGCATTGGAGTAGCTAATATCTGCCTTGATTTCTCATTATATGTCCCAAGTACTCCAGCTTACGGCTCTTCACAATGTTAATACATTAAAATTGATATAACCCGGACATAACATAACCCGGAACACTAATAAGCCTTTATCCAGACGACACTGCAATAGCGGCAAAACATAGGAACCTGAAAATGACTATAAGAAATCTACAGTAGAATCTCAGAAGAATGAAGTAAGCAATGAAAAATAGTAATAAATTCAGAAAAGGCCCAAGCGGTTATCTTAGAAAAGAAGAGAGATAACCCAGAAGAACAGCTAACAGTGCAAGATAGGCCCGTCGAATGGCAGTGAAGCTAAATACCCATGACTCACAATGGACTACGGTCTAACATTTACATCATGCATACTATACACATTATGTTAACGGGACAGTCCAGAAAACAGCAAAGGATAGAGCCGCAATAAGAGAACTCACAGGAAGAAGCAAATTAGCTATGAAAACAAAATTAAGACTGATAAACAGCATCATACTACCAATAATTACACATGCATCTCTTGCATGGGGACACATAAAGTCACACCAACAAAAATAAGATTAAAGAAGCACACAACAACTGCCTCAGGGAAGCGACAAACGTGGCCAGATACGTCGCTAAAGGGTTTATATTCAGAGACATAAGGCTAATAAGGTTACTGAATATTATGGAGGAAAATGAAAAATTCGCTGAGGTAGAAGACCCCCGAACCGAATTCTGGGTAGGATGTGTACCATAGATGAAAACACAGAAAACTCAAAGAGCAAACATTAGCAAACATATAGTAAAGTCTAAAAAATCGTAGCTCTATCCAAACAATAAAACACGCTCACCTTTGGCATGGAAATGTATTTACTAATGTTGATTTTATATGTTTCAGCCTTCAAAAACTATCTACACAAAAAAAAACACAAAAAACGGCTTCCGCCACCAAAAAAATTAATAAACCACTAACAAAAGGCACAAATCACAAAAAATACTTAAAAAAACCAAAAAAACGTACAAGGGGCCCACATCCTCGAGCGCCGAGTTATCGAATCGGGTGTAGCCCAGAGCGAGGACTCAAGACCCGAGCAAGTAATACAGATCAATGATAAGTAACTAGAGATAGCGAGAATAGAGCGCCTAATTCTGGCCTGCATTGTTCGGGGTAGGATTTTATGGGGGAAGCCTTGTAGCCAGGGCTTCCACATGACAAGCACATGTGATAATAAAGCCTCTATAGCGAATTAGAGCACTATCAGGGGAAGAGTGGATGGTCTGGAGCTTTGGGGCGGGGTAGAGTGATTCCTGTTTACATTAATTACTCCTTGCCGATCCAATAAATTGTATGACCCTATTGTTATACTCAAGGAGTGTGCAAGTCTCTCAGGCTGGGTTATTGCTTGCTTGCTTGTCTTAATTTCCACCTAAGTACCTAATCCAATCCAATCCAATCCAATCGAATAAGTACCTAATTATATAATCCACACAGGGAAATAAATAACAAATGATCTGTTGGGCCCAGAAAGTAGGCCTCTAAGTAACTAAGTATTATATTAGTAAAGTATTTGTTACATTGCCCATAAAAAAAAAATATAAAATATATTTTTATAAAACCTTGAACATAGATATAATTTTATGATACTTACTACATCCTGGTACTTCACAGTTTGCAGACAATAACCATGAGAGACCCCACGCAGTATCAAAAGAGACATCAAATGATTTTCCTGGATGTCCAACGACAATTTTGCCATAAAACTCGTTCTGAAAAGTAAATTTATTTTTAGATAGAAAAATAGAAGTTTTTAATGACTACTGCAAACATTGACGAGAATTTTGTTATTTTTTATCGACTTTTAAAGCGCTCAAAACTTTAGCCTTAAGGCCCCCATACACATTCACGTATACTTGAACAGTATACATGCACAAGTTTGTTGCACAAGTATACTGTGCAATACTTGCACAATTAATGTTTCGTACAAGCGACATGAGACTTACGAAAATTTAGGAATTTTTGCTTGTGCATGTTAGATTTGCGCAAGTGTAATTGAGCGTGTGTGCGAAAGACTTGTACAAGTTTAAAACAGTTGAGTTTTGACCATTCGTGTAGACGGGCGATATTGTTGTTTCCGCTAAACTGGTGCAATACGAGTTTGCAGATGAAAAATGGACATCGCTCGAATAATTTATTTCGATTTACGAACAGGACCAATGTCTGTGGTCCGTAAAAAGCAGAGATTTGAAGGAAATCGACCCAAAACGCCTTCCGAACTAAGTACAGGAAGGAGAAAAAAAAGTAAATACTTCGATAAAGACTGGAGCCGGCACCCACGAAATATAATACGTATACTTCCAATTTATGGTAGGTACTTTGGTATGTTCGAGTTTTTGGGAGAACAAGATATTTCATATAATTCGTCGTCAAACTTGAAATAAAATGCTGTAAATATGAAATATTTGTATATTTTGTATATTATTATTATCAACAGTATTTGAAAAAATTAAAATATTTCCCCGTACTTGTTTATTTTATTAACAAAATCGGTCTGCCAAGACACTTTTCCTTCACTTGCAAAGTATTTCATAAATTCGTTTCGTATATCTTTGCCACCATCACTATCGACCCAATATTTTTTACCTCCAAATTGATGACTATGTGGAAAATACTAAAACGGGCTGATAGAATCCCAAATGTATTTTCAATAATACGACTAGCTCTACTTAATTCAGAGAGCACATTAAGAGCACATAATCAAAACTTATAGTTGAAGTAAGCAATAGCCAGTAGAACCATACTGTGTGTCTTCTTATAATTGTAGAAATATGAACCGCTTCCTGCTTGTGGTATGATCTGAACATGTTTTCCGTCCACATCACCTAAGCAATGAGGAAAATTCCACCTTGTTTTCCACCTTGTTTTTAATTAAAAAAAAAATAAACGATGTTAATTATTTTTCAGGGATTACTGAAGGTAGTAACGGAGCATTCAGTAGATAAAGATGAAGCACCAAATGCGGATGAAGTTTTAGGGGAATCTCGGTCAACCGAGGCTTTAAAATAACAAACTCTACGACTTCTACACCTCATCCATTACAACCGGGATTTACTCTAAAGAGTAGTATTACAGGGCGACCTACCATTAAACGAATATCAGCAGAACAATATAACAATGTCCTGAAATCCATCAAATAACATTTCAAGAGACCAAAATTCAAGACGACCGATATGAAAAAACAGTTGTCCAGTAAATTTCGAGATGTGCAAGATCGCACACAACGATTAATCGCAGAGAAAATAATGAATGGAGCATTGTTTATGACTGAAACTGGTCAACTCACCTTGACCCATTGTATTAGTTCCTATGGTGCCAGCAATTTTCAGTCAATATAAAAATTACATCAATGCTACAAGCGAACCTGTGCGTCCGAATAGTGCGTCTTCATCGTCATTTACTGAGACGATCATCTGTGAAGATGGTTCCACTGGGAATTCCAACACCTCCGTTTACTACAGTGTTACTAATGTCAATTTAAATTGTTTTATTTTTTTACCTTTAAATAATTTTTCAGCTAACTCAGTTAGCCCTAGACTCCAACACAGATCAGAGGTAATGTAAGTCAATAAAACCTCACCAACTACAGGGGGTCATATAAGATGCCCCCAGTTTCATTTTTTAATATCACACAATTTAAGAGTCTATTGCATTTACCTGAATAAATAACATGAAGATTATTTTTTAAATCCAGATGTCCATCGAATGTATTTTATGTGGCCACACAATGTTTTTTAACAACTTTTTATTAAACTGATGATGGAATGATACAATTCCGAAAAGATTTTCTTTATAAAAAAATTTTAAGCTTTTAATAAGCGCTTTTTTTATACCTCAATACACACGAACACCACGTGCTTTGTATTCAACAGGTATACTAGCCACTCCTGGATATCTCCACTTCATGGTTTGTTCCAGTTTCACTTTTAAAAAAAGAAACAATAACCTTCTATTGATGTAGGTACACATTCCATACACATTTTTATTTGATGCTCTCCACACAAGGCACTCCCACACTTGTAACATTTGGTAGTTGTCATTCGTTTCTTTGCTGTAGAGCATAAACTACAGTAAGACATTTTCCTTTCCCTTGAAGACCTCGGCGGTCTTCAGCAACATGCGTTAAATTCAAAAGCATGGAAAGACTCTCTATGAGACTTCTTGATAAAGTTGGTATTGTTTGAAGTCTTATTTGTTGCCATGGCTTCGTTAATTGTTCATGAAGTTTCAGCATAAAATTTAATCTTGATAACTGTTTGTTTTTAGTTGCATTGTGATGGTAGATTACAAAAGCGATTACTACTGCAATATTCACCATATTGTAAAATATGCATAGCGGCCACTTTCTAGTCTTCTTTTAAAACATATTATAATGCTGTAATTGATTCACGGTTGAAGTCTAACCCAGGCCAACGTTTTGGAATCTATCACGTGGCCGCATGTGTTGGAATAGCACACGGCAGTGCCATGTTATTACAGAGCATTATAAATTCTTTCAAAAAAACAAGAATATTTCCAGTGGACAGCACATTGTCACCGACGATATGTTTGCTCCCAGTCTGGTCAGTGAGGGACCTAATCCTCCAGACGAAACTCTTCATGATGAACCTCTAACATGCCAACTAGCTGCAAGTCTGAAAAACCACCCAAATTTCAAGCGAAAACTTTCAGCAACCAATAGACACTCCATCAATATCCATCAAGCTGCCAAAACTCTACGCCTATGCCCTCTCAACAGCCTGGCTGTTATTTAAGTCTTGAGGAGATACGAGGATATCTACAATCGAAACTCAATACTAGCTCCAAGAAACCAAGAGAAAAGGAGAAAAGCAGAATAATAACTGACACCCCAGAAAAGCTTCTTTTGGCAGAAAAAACAGATCAATAAAAAATCAAAGAAAACCACCAACTTTAATGCTAAACGTACTAAATCTACTAGAAAACTACTTTTTGAAAATGAGAAGACAACTGATAATGAAAATGGCAAAAACTCTGATGATAAAGTATTAGAAGAGCCACGGCAAAATTTTGACAGGAGTGAATTGAAAATTGAAGATTTTGTGCTGGTTAAATTTGGGACTGTAAAACAAAAAGATGTGTACTGTGTTGGTAGAATCATTAGTAAATGTGATGATGGGGATGTTGAAATTTCATTTTTGGGAATGTCATCTAAAGTAAATTATACATTTTTCTACCTTATCGTACCAGATATCTCCATTCCAGATAGTGCTTCGGTTGAGTTTACCGAAAGTGTAAGCTCATTATAGCTGCAAATGTCAAACATGGAACAAAAATTTTAGTATAGCAGTGTTGGCATGTTTTTATAATGTAAATATTGTATGCTTCAAATATAAAAAGATACAGCTTTAGAACAGTACATTTTGTTTATTTTATGTTATGAATTCTGCAATTTTTGATATATATATATAGAACAAGAATGAGTAAATATTTGATTCTTTGGAGATAAATTGCTGTTAATTATTAAAAAAAATTTCAGCAATTACCCTTTGATAAATTAGGGGAAAGATTTGGCAATCGTCAAATCAGCAGTTGCCAAATGTTTGCAATGAATGTCGAAAGAGGCAAATATTTACCCGTTATTGCTTCACATAAATTAAAAATTGCGGAATTCATAAAATAGTATAATCAAAATGTACTTTTTAAAAGCTTTATCTCTTTATATTTGAAGCATACAACATTATGCAATATAAAAACATGCCAACACTGACAAACCAAATTATTTTGACATTGGCGGCTATATTCAGCTTGTACTTTCGGTAAACTCAACCAGAGGAGCGGCTAAAGTCACAGTCTTGCTCCCTGCTTTGCGCATGAGTGTTATCCAATGTTGCCGTTTCCGAGATAGTTTGTTATACGTCATTGGATTTTACCAATTTAGTTGTTGATTGATAGACGAATTTTTCGAATTGATAGAGTTTTCTAATATAATTGTGTTTTTGCGTTATAATTTTAAACTTGGTGAATATGGGGATAACGTGTAAATATTGTCAAAAAGTATTTACTTTGCAAAGAAATTTAAACAGACATTTAAGAACAGTACATTGTGATACAGAAAAAAACATTAATGCTTACGAATATGGTGTTCATGTAAATAAATGTTCCGAGGGTTGCAATTTATCATTTATGAATATTACGCAATTAAGGGAACATTTAACTCAAGTTCATAATACTTCTTTTTCTGAAGAAATTTTACATTTCAATAATGTAGAGGGTACATTTATAAATTTATCAAAAATAAGCTACTTTGGTTTGCTAATGGTTTTCTTTCAGATTTTGAATTGTGGTTAAATGAAATAAGCAAAACAAAAAATCAGGAGTATGCTAAACGAACTACGGACAAAATAAGTGAGGAAATTGTTGTAACATATTATAACTGCAACAGAAGTGGTAAGATATTCTGGCTATAGCGGATATGGTTTAGGTATTCTATAAATATATTTTTCTAGGTATTAATCAAGAAAAATTGTCCTCTAATAAACGAAAAAGAAAAATTAAGGTTCAAGGATCTTGCAAGCAAGGGATTGCTTGTACTAGTACAATTAAACTGAGAAAATATGTTAAAACAGGTCAGTGCGATGTCAAATATGTACCTGAACATTATGGTCATGTAACCGAACTCCAGCATTTAAGGATTTCACAATCCAATAAATTAGAAATTGCTGAAAAATTAGCTATGGCAGTTCCTGCATCAAAGTAAATATACTTATTTTCAAATAACCCATTTTTAGTTTTTATGTTTTTAATTAATTTTGAAGTGAATACTTCTTATGGCTCGGTATGATGTTTTGTACGGACCCGAAATCCTATTTAGCGTAAGTCGAAAAATTGAAACGCGTGTAGTAACCTTGCGGTATATCGTATAATATACATACATATACACCATGGACGTATAAACATAGATTATACACTTATTACAGGATTATTATGTTTATCTGAATTACCT